TGATGATAATGGCTCCTCTTCTCGTTGACGTGCCTTAATTTTTTTTTTGTTTCCTCAATTTCTTCTTATTCTTACGACTGATTATGTAATCACAACCGTCCACCATACACTCAGGGCTTGGAATACATACACGACAAACTTTAAATCGACTTTTTTGATTTGGACGGCCATTGATTGAACCATTTTCCAAAACTTTGCCGCATCTACTACAATTTTTCGTTGTACGATATTCATTAACATATCGGACAGTGCAACGAGCATGCCGTTCCAATGCCTTAAAAAGGTCGCGCACTTTGGTCCGAACATAACCCTTGGTGGGCGAATTTCCTTTACCAAATGCACGGCCAACGAAAACAAATGTATGTGGTTGAGGTTGATGATGTGATGCTGCTGCTGTATTATTATTTATACCATTTTTACTACTACTACTACTACGGTAATTAGTTCGTACTATCATTCGTACCATTTGTGTGATGGCACGATTTGTTTCAATCCATTGCCAAAAATTTATTTTGGCATACTGCAAACTTCCATACAACTCCATTCCACGCTTATGAAATTTTAGCATATGCTCTGCATATGTTTCATAGTCAGTTGATCGTGATGAGGGCTGCTGCTGTTCATGTCGCTCACGATCCAATTTCATTTCGTTGTCAAATTCGTCGACAATGGCTTTTCGTTTTCGTTTAAATTGTGGTATTTTAGACATCCAATGAAATTGTCGGCTTGACACTCGATAATTTCGAACGCTGCTCACTTTTTTTTCGTTGCCGCCGCCGTCGTCAATTTTCTCTTTGTCAATAATTATTCCAGCGACCATTTCACGTTCACCCACATCTAAACACACTTCACGTTGACATTGTTCAAGTCGTTGTCGTTGTATATTTAAATTTTTTGCATCATCATAATAATCATCACCATTATTAGCAGCAGCAGCAGCAGTTTGTGTTTTATTTTGTTTTTTCATTACAAACACAATCGATACACCATCGGTAAAAATATAATTGGCAAATGTCAATCCGACCGAATGACGTTCAACGCCGGCCACATTAAAATATTTGCGCCACATACGATGCCACAACTCTTTTTGGCCACTAACCTTTGCGTACCTCTGGTTCAGATTTGCACTAGTTTCAGGCGGTCGCTTCAATTTTTTCAAGATATTAAACAATGCCTCTTGATCAATGTGAATGAATTTTCGTGCAAATTTCGATTCTGGTATTACTGCATAGACTGGTAATCGCGGAGCCAATCGCAACCATGTACGTTTTACTTTTTTCAAATTTGTTGCTGTCGCCGGCGCTTCTTCATCGAGTTTACGTTGACGATTAATTGCATCGGCTCGCAATTGATTTTTTTCGCGACAATATTGTTGCAAACGCACATAGAACGGAATGTGACGATACCAATTTTTATGTAAATGACGAAAATAACCACATTCATTATCTTTAAAATCCATTGGATTTAATTCGAGCCTGATGTGATCCAACAAATTCAAAATCTCTGGCGTTTCATCAATTTGTAATGCAATCGTTTGTTGTTGTTGTTGTGATTTTGATTTTCTATTTTTGCCTTTTATTTTCTTTTTATTGGCTGTCGTCGCCTCTTCACCACCATCATCATCATCATCTTTCTGATTTTTTTCCTTGTTTCCTTGTCTCTTTTTTGTTTTTGTTGTGACGTTTTTCCAATTTTTTAGAAAATCCGGTCGTTTCGGATCGTTTTTAAACAAATAGTGTAATGTATCTTTGACCAATTTCCAATGTTCACTGCGTATTGCTTTAAATGTTTGTAATTTTTTGCCAACGTTATTTTTTGTCGTTTTCTTTTCGGCTTCCAATTGACCCGATATGATGTAATGAAACAAAAATTGCTTGACATTACGATACAAATTTCGCGTAACACAACCCATAAAACAACGATAATATTGTTGGCTAGCAAAACCAAATGTATTACCATATCCAACACATGGCCGACCCGTAACACCATATTGACGACACAATTTCAATAGTGTTTCATCTATTGGCCATTTGTGTGCATTTTTATTTGGATTGGCAATTGAATCGGCGGTGACGGCACGAAAATATCGATCAAAATATCGTTGATTCGTTTGGAATTCGCAATCGCTGTTCCAAAATTCTTCACGAATCTTTGCATCATTATTCGCCGTGTTAATAATACGCAACAATGAACAGTGAACATTTAAAGCGCCCAACTTTTGCAAATCGCTCATATTCTCGACAATTTCATTGATGACGGTCGGTAAATCACTTTTCGCATCGACAAACTATATATATATACATAGGTAAATATAGAAAACCATAATAATACCATTTATAAATATATAGTTATTATAAAAATAATAGATGCACTTGCACTATATCAATATCCAAAAAATAATACCTTTCGATTGTAGCCACAATATTTGCTGCTCTTCTTCTTCTTTGGATCCAATTCAGTTCCCATTTTAATTGAGGTCATCATCATCGATGATGATGATGATGATGATGATGATGATGTTGATGTTGATGATTTTTTTGGGGAAACACCTGTCGTAGTAAAAATAATATTTTGATTGAAATTTGGCGAATCAAACGAATACATATAAATAAACGAATCCACTATACCTGTTTTCTTTTGTTTTTTCGACAATGTTGACGGTGACTGTGACGGTGACGGTGACGGTGACGGTGACGATGGTTTCAATCGTTTTTTTGGTGGTTGTAGTGACAATGGTGGTGGTGGTGGTGGTGGTGGTGGTGGTGTCATGGTCATCATCATCATCATTGCATCATTATCTACATTATTGATCTGTTCATAAAAAAAACAGATATCCCTCTTGTAGGGCATTGTTGTTGTTGTCACTGCTGCCAAATTCAATGATGGGCTTATCATCATCAAACAAATAATAGCATCGTCTTGCTGCTGCTTCATCATCATGATGATGATGATCATTCGAAACGATTGCAGTATAATGACCAGCATTTATCGAAATACCTCTGTGATTTACGATTGATTTCAAACGATATCGAAGTATCGGTGGTGGTGGTAGTGGTGGTGACGATGATGATGCTGATGATGCTGTTGTTGCTATAAACGATGACAAATTCAACTCCTGATCAAAACTAATTGTTTTATTGATTCGTTGTCGATTGCCATTAAAACGTCGCAATTGTATGCATAACACACGTGGTGCCGAATAAATACGCGTTTCTCGTGTTACTTTTGTATGTTGCTGGCATTTGGTGCATTTCAGTTGATGATGATGATGTTCATCATCATCCGCTGCCGCCGCCGAATCATCAGAGAAATAATGACGAATGGCATCGCTTAGCGATTTAATGTCGCTACGTTGAATGTCCAATGTCAAACCATTTAATGGATTGAGCGGTGTTAAATGTGATGCATTCCCACATGCTTGACATAAACGATAATGTTGAGTTGCACCCAGCCAAACATCTTGCACATGTGATCGATTACGTTTTTCCATTGCAACGAATATAAGATTTGACCAAAATTCATGTGCATCTTGATGTTGGCCCAACACAAAACCATCTCCCATAAATTGTGCGAGACGTGTACGAATTCGATACGGATCAATGATTTCATTATTTAATTCGGCGATGTTATTCATTTCATCAAATGTTTTATTTAGTGCACAAACTGTACACTCACCGCATCCTCTACCAACACCATCATCATTATTATTATTATTATTATAGTCTTCAACTACTATTTTTGAATTGAAAAAAAAAATGGAAAAAGGAAAAACATTATGTATTGTATTTTTTCGTAATCATTTTTATTTATTTATTTAGAGAGGGAGAGAGAAAGAAAGAGAGAGAGAACATACTAACCACATTGCAATTTTAATGCTTCGGTGAATGGTCGAATATGGAATAGGGCCTGTAACACGGCATTCATGTAACATGTAGCGTGAACATTTTTTAGTCTTTTTGCGGCGATGATAATGCCGTTGCCGCTATCATCGTCACGTTGATCATCAGCGGCCAGATATCGTTTTTGCCGTTTCTTTGGCCATCTTTGGCCGCCGCCGCCGCCATCATCCTCATCATCATCATCAGCATCATCATCATGATGTTGATCATCATTTATTTTTTTGGAAAAATAATATTTGATGCTACGTCCCTTTGTCGTAGGTTGATGACGTTTTTTGTTCATTTTCATCACTGAAAAATATAACATAATAGTACACCAGACGTCAAATTCAATATTTTATTTTGTATCTAATACATATTCTTGTGCAATACTTGATTAAGCAAATCTATACTATATTTATTATATAATATGAGAAACGGTAAATTTTACTTTTGTAAAAATTAAAAATTAAAAATAGTATGTAGTTTTATCGCATTTATATGAAAATCATAATTTTTTTTAGCTTTTTTCAGTGAATCATAATCATAATAATAAATAAAATATACAAAAAGAACACGCGACGAGAAAAAGACAAATTCAAACGGACCGCGCGTGCTTCCCGTTATATATCTATCGTGCGCGTGGTTTTCCTAACAACCTCTACCGCCGCTTATATTAGGTATATTAGGTATATTTGTGCTCTCTTTTTCTTTTCTATTCTTTGAAAAACTCATTTTAAAAATCTTATTAAAAAAATGAGCAAACCAACATTTGATATTATATTTTATAATTTATACTGTACACAGTAAGTATACAGTATTGATTTCTTTGCGGCTTACCTCTACTACTTCTCTCGCTCAACACCAAAATTCGTTTTGGAATGCGATAATTTCGCGAAACATATAAACAACTGAAAATTTTCGAAATTGATGAATTTAATTGATGGATATATTTTGTTTTTTGTTTTTTTAATTTTTAACTTTTTAAAATCTATAACTATATATATATATATAGCGCACAAATAAAATTATGTGCTTGTCTTGTCTGTTGCTCTTCTGATTTAGAACTAAAATTGAAATCTCTGAAATGAAATGATGATGCCCATGGCCGGCGGCGAGAATCATCAGTGTTGTTCGTGTGGCGATCGTCTATTGGTCCAAATAAATGTGGCGTGATTTTTTTTTTTTTAACATCTCTCATTCTCTTTTTTTTCTATCTATACTACTACTACTTCTACTACTACTACTGCTCATCACATATTTGCATATTCATTTGAAGGAAAGAAAGAAAATTATCCACCAGATGGCCGCCGCCGCCGCCGCCAATCGATCGATTTCGATTTCATATAGTACTTAAGAATTTCGATAGTTGAGAAATTACGAAATGCTTGCGTGCGCGCGCGCACATCAACAATCACATCACCACCCCATCATCATCAATCATCAATCATCTCTCTCTCTATTATTGAACATTTTGACAATTAGATGGTTGACGCGCTGTACAGCATTGGAACGAAGAGTAGTGCATGCATGCACCACTTTTTTTTCATGTTCTTCTCACAAAAGAAAAGAATACAAAAAAAAAAAAAAATAAAAAACACCACACTTAAAAATCAAAGAATTTCCAGTATATAATTATTACATTTTTGGATTTTGTAAAATTATAATAATATATATAAAGAATCTATCAAAAATCTCTACAAAATTGCGACGCACAATATTATAATGCCATTACTGCTGAATGGCGGTGGCGGCGGCAGAGATGGAAACATTCCAATTGATTATAAACTTTTTGTTAAAAAGTATATATTATTGCAATGTTTAAAAAG